ATAGAACACAGATCTTTTTTCTAAGGCTTTATTCTCAGGTCGGAAAATTTTATCACTGTATAATAGCTGTAAGGCAAGCGGGAAGCTGGTGAGTCTCTATACTGGTCGGATGCGCAGAGGTAATATGCACTGCTTAATTTTGATTTGCGTTTTTTAAAAGCCCTTAAAGGTGCTTTTTTTTATTCGGTGTTTGTAAAAAGTGCTTAATTTTCTATCTTTTAAAAAGAGATTTTTTTTGTCTTATCGATTGTTATTCTAAATTACAAAAAATTCGTTTTTTTCACAATTTTCTCTGCAATATTTATCAGAAACTAGTTATATCATCATGATTATGTCAAGTTTTTAAAATAATGTTATTGATTTTATGTTTATAAATTAAGTACTTTAAACAATAGAAAAAATATTTTTTATTCCTGCACAGATCCTAATTATGATTTTTTTTTTTTGGAATGTGATTAAAAGTATTTTTTGAGTGCTTGAAAAGTACTTAAAAGGTTTTTTGATTGAAAAACTGGCTACGCACCCTGTAACAAATGGGAATTCACTGCCTCTTGCTTTCTGCCCATTCTCTCAGTGTGTGGCTCACCTAAGGATGCAGAATGTGGTAAAAATATTTATGTGTAACTCACCAAATAAAACATATCTGTAACTACGAGCAGTTTTTAGACATTTTAAGCATATATTTCTCAAAACATTTTTAAACTGGAGAAATCTCAAATTTAACAAGTTTCCTTTAAAATGTAAGAGAACTATGAAGTAAACTAAGAGCAGTAGTAAGAATTAGCATGCTAGAAGTAACAAAACTATAGATTTTATACTGCATAGCAAAGTTGCGTATTGAAATTAAGGCCATGATTTGAACTAACATTTATTTAACTTTTAAATGAAACTAAATGCTAAAATCATTACTATAAATTTTAACATATTTACAAGGTCGTTGCAGTATATGACACATCTTCAAGATCTCTCATACCAGAGATTCAGAGTGACTGCCTGCTACACTCTCTGATCTGGAAAAAATGCATCTTTTTATAATGCTTGAGACATTGACGTCATATCTCTTACTGGCTTCTTTTTTCCCACTGGATTAATCTTTCTGATAACTTTCTTATCTGTGAAAGATTAAAGTTTACAACTTAAAATTTAAGCTATTTGTCTCATACAGCTCCATTATAAACTGTATCGATAAAATACTGTAATTTTCCTTTAATCTAAGGTTTTGTAAGCAAGTTTTCTGTGGTTGCTACTGACATACTTAAAACAAATTTTCTTCTAGCATATTTCTAATAAACTGATATTTTATGTCTATTTGTTTTGTCTTCAATTGAATCTATTAATGATATAAATTCAGACTCCATTAAACTAAATGCTACACATTTTTGCTTACTCAATCTCCAAGTTAATGGCATTCCAGCTAAATAAATTCCCTGAGGACGCATGTTATAGTGTTAATAGGAATTAAGTATTACTAATATTTTAACTAGCCATTAATACGTAATTTATTACTTTGACTAAATCTTCAAATCCGAATGTGCACTCATGAAACATTGATGTTATTTTATTTGAAAGGAACATTCTAATTTTCGATGTACAGTCGCAAAAATTAAAGGCACCACCCTGAGTAATTTTTGATCTAAGGACCGGATCTTCATGTTCTAGGACTCAATGCTTTGAGATGACCTCAGATCAAATTAATAAGTGCAGACAATATTTTAAGTTACGAAATCAGACACCAAAAAACTCTCTGAATAAACATTAATTTTTTTTCCTTGGACAGATTCGCATTTCAGACCCTTAAAACATAGCGGGTAGTTTCAATCAGGAGAGAGGTCCCAAGTTTCGACCCTTCATGTCAATTTTACTTTTTGCGTATTATTACCATATCACAAGATCTTTTTAAGTTAATTGAGAAATTTTTGCACACCGTTATAAAATTCATTCATTCAGAGATAGTTCCATGCAAAACATAATTTTAACTAAATACACAAGCCTGCAAAATTGAACTTTTCGAAAAATACAAGCGAAGTTATTGTTGATTTATATGTTATTTGATGTGCTGATTTTGAAAATGACCTTCATTTTCCCCAATCACATCAGGATTTTTTATAAAATCGATATTAATGTTTTTACTAAAATCCTATTTGAAAAGGAATTCTCTCAAATAATTTTGCATGTACTATCTGGTAACTTCATTCATTTTGATCTCTATGTGAAATTTAATCTTGTGAAAGAAAATTGATTTTTGAGCTATCAACTGATTTTTTATAGATTAAAATGAATAAAAAATACTGTTACCAGATAGCAGAAGTCACCTCTGGTCAAGAGAAAAACAATAAGTTCTTCGTGTTCAAACTTTCTACATCAGTTTCTAGAAGAAAATCACCAACAAACCATTTTAATTTCTTTTTATTTTGATAACTTACGTAAAATTGACGATTAACCAAGAATAACAAATATTGTGTATGTGTATATGAAAGTTTGAAACAAAAAACAAAACGAGCAAAAAACAAAAGAGAAATGTTTCTATTTAAGTATATACTCGTTTTCCTTTGAAACTTAATTTTGATGATCTTCTTTCATGCTTAATCTCAGGTTTATCCCGAGTTACCATCCAACAGTAGTCAGTGAACATGTTCTTGTCCCATCTTCCTTGATATTTACGCTAAATATCTCTGATATCTTGATGGAACCTTTCCCCTTGTTCTTTGCTAACTGCTCCTAAATTTTCAGGGAAAAAGTCCACATGTGAGTGAAGGAAATGCATTTTTGCACTCATGGAGCAACCCAACGTTTTAAATTTGTCCAGCATTTTCATTACAATTTCCTTATAGTCAGGATCCTTGTAATCACCCAGAAATTACTGACATCTTTGATAGCAACCCAAGCTTCTTTTTCCGTTTCTGTCATGTTAGTCTCAAATTTTTTATCCTTCATGAGTTTGCGAATATCTGGACCAACAAATATTCCTTCTTTCAACTTAGCTTGGGATAAATCTGGAAACTTTTTGCACAGGTATTTAAAACAATTGCCATCTTTTGGAACAGCCTTGACAGACTGCTTCATTGCACCTTATTTTACATGTAGCGGAAGTAACAATACTTTTTTCGGATCAATTAAGCTGTTTCGAATACCGTTCTTGGTGCCTGGGTCAAGATTTTGTCTTTTCGGCCATTCTTTTTTGACGCAATGTTAAGTCTTGTCACGGCTTTCCCACTCACAAATGAAACATGGGTACTTTATAAATCCCCCTTGTTAACCAAAAAGCATGGAGATAACTTTCAAATCACCGCAAATGGTCCATCTGTGGTCGATATATTTTATTTTGTTCAGGACGAGAGCCAGGTTTAGATACTAGTCTTTGATTTTTTCGGTTATACCCAGGAACAAAAATAACAATCATCAAAGTGGTTTTGGGGCTCTTTCCACGTCATAGGAATTCCAAATCGAAAAGCAGTCTTCTTTCCTTGAGGCCATAAGAGTAGATCATTGAGACACTGCACACAAACTTTATGAGGTGCCCAAGATTTGTCCTGATCTCAGAGTTTCATGTCAAAATATGCGAGGTAAAGTTGTCTTACATAGTTTGTAATGCTCCTCATGCGATTTTTAACTACACTATATTCGCCGCATGTATAACAAAAGTCATCTGGGAAATGTCTTGAACTCAAAGTCATGTTTCACGAAACGCACAGAAAAAAGCAAACTTTAAAATGACTCCCTATAACGCTTGCTAGTGTTTCTGAGAGGTCAGCGGACCTAGATAAGGATACTCGCGACGCTATTGGTAGAGAAAGATTGTTACAGAGAGAGGGACGGTGACAGGAAGTAGTGATAGAGGGGTAGATTTGACCAAAGTAGAATGCTGGTCTATCAAAAAGGGAAGAAATTCAAAAATGAAATTTTTTTTATGGTAAATGTTCATAAAAATTCCAGTAAAATTGAATTTTTATAAAAAACGTGACGAGATGGACATTTTTCATTATTATTTTCCATTTCAGCACCAAAAAATACATTAAGTTCAGCTATCAGACCCCTTGTATTTTTTTCATCGCAGGCCTGTGATATTAATTATATTTTATTGAATAATAGTCTAAAACATTTCAAATTATAAGGTATAAAATTTTTTGCATCATTTTAAAGAATGCAAATTTACTTGGCAATATACAAAGTTTGAGCAAAATCGGTTGAATAGTTCTTGAGAAATCAAAATTTTAAAAAGTCAGATATTTCAATTTCTTAGGAACTATTCAAACGATTTCTATCAAGTTAGTATTTTTCCATGTAAAATTGCATTCTTTAAAATTATGAAAAAATTGCATATCTTACTATAAAAAATTTGTATTAAATAAAATAAAAAAATTTTACTACCTTTTATTTTTTGCATGGAATTATCTTCGAATATATGAATTTTATAATCGTGTGCAAACATTTTTTAGTACCTTTAAAAAGTTCGTTATATGACAAAATTAACTTTAAGGGGTCTAAACCTTGAACTGACCTGACCAAACTAATGACTATATTTCCAAGATCAGATTGCAAATCCAAATCCGCCTGGAAAAAAAAGGCACGATTCATAGAAAGTACGTTTTTGTGTCTGATTTCGCAACTTATATCTGCACTAAACTAATTAATTAGCATATTTGATGCCACCCCCTGGAACGATTGTGTCCTAGAATGGGAAGATCCAATTAGATCAAAAGCCATTCAGGGTGGTTCCTTTATTTTTTTGCGCACTGTATATTCTGGTATGTTAGTTGAGAGGTTCTGTATATAAACTGTTAGTTGAGAGGTTCTGTATTCTGTATATAAACTTTCCTTAAACTTAAGCAAATTCATATTTTTATAATAATAAGCTATCCTACAAAAATTTTTATAGTTCAGACACATTAAATAAATTCTTTTAATGTTGGTCTCCAAAAGTCTTTATGTCAAATATGTAAAAGAATTCTTTTAGTTGAGAAGTATCTATGTCACAACTATTTATAAAATAAAGAAAGCAGTTTTAAAATTAGTCACTATTAATTGGCACACTGTTTAATACATAATTATGTGATGTATTGCAGCAATTTCTATTACATACGGCACCACGGTCTTTGCGCTAGAATTCTGCAATCAACGTGGAATTAATTCAATATAAAATATTTACAAAAATATTCTTAATTGGCAGATCCATATCTATTTGCAGCATTTTATCAACATTAAAAGAAAACCTGATTTTTTAAAAGTTATTTTAATGAATAACTAACAATACAACACAAATTGTTGAAAAAGCAACAAAAAATATACTCAAGATGAGAGAAAGCTAATGAGAAAATGAAACAAAGACAAAAATTGATTATCACCTTTTTGATAATAAACATATGTTCATATACTTATTTTAAAAGAGCACATTATAAAATATTTGAATAAAACATGTGGTTGATAAAGTTGAAATAAAAACGTAAGAGGGCATCATACCACGGAAGAAACTTAGTCACAAATTCACTTCCAATACTAATTTAAAAGAAAAAAAGTAAGTTCAGGCAATCCTAGAGTAAGCCATGAAGGTTTAATTAAAGAAAAAAAATATCAAAATGCAAAATAAATTATTGGAAGGAAACATCATTGCTTCACAAGTTATCTTTTCATAATTTATTTTTAGTTGGATATTTAAAAAAATTGATTCTCAGTATTTCAGTATATTTATTAATTCTAGGTTCAAAGGAACCTTTCTCAGTATCTAAACCAGTGATGGGGAAACTACGGCCCGTTTAAGAGTGCCGTCGTGAGAATGCTTGAATGCGTTCTTGTATATGTTTATAGAACACATAAATTTTTTAACGATTAAGCATTATTCTTTGGCCCGCTACGATTGTCTAGTTATTACAAATGGCCCGTCTTAAAAAAAGTTTCTCCACCACTGATCTAAACGTTTAATCATTTGACATTTAAAAAGAATTTGAGATGAAAAGTTTTTCTCCTGGTATGGCACCACTAGAAAAAGTTGAAGAAAAAACAAACTTCATGAAGATAACAATAAAATAGTTTTTTCCAAAATATAACTAAACTCATATTCATGTTTCTAACAAAGATAATTATATACTTGATCAGAAATTTAGATACTAGCAAAATTTCTAGATACAAACTTTGACACAGGATACACAAAACAGGATTTATTTATTTATTATTTGAAGAACAATCATTACGCTTTAAGTATTTCACATAAATTATTTAAAATTCTAATAGTCTATAATCTTTGTTAAACTATACATTGTGTCAAGTTAACTTGACAGTGTTGTAAAAGCTACAGTACCCAATGTAATGATTAATGATAATGATTATCACAAAAGAAAATTTTGAGTAAAAAAGTAAATTTTGAAATTGAAGAAGTAAAATTCAAAAATTTTTCTAATAAATATTTAAAAACAGCTAACTACTCGTTGCTTTTATAAAATTATATTTCCCTTAATTATAAAAATAATCTAAAATGAGAATTTATTTTTTTACAAAAGCAAACCTAATTGCGAAATCAGACATAATAAAGTTACGGTGGGAATTATTTTAGCAATGTAAAAATATTCAAGTAACTTTTTTTACATAGCTTATAGATGAAACCAATTTTGCATAATCAAGTTAAACATTTCTAAGTTGTAAAACTTTAAAGTGTAAAAGAATTTCATACACATGTAGAAAAATTTTAAGAAAATAAACCAATTTTTAGATGGTTGGTACAATTTTATTTGATTTTTTAATTCCATAGTCATTAAATGATGTTTAATTCAACAATATTAAACAACTGCAATATTTCTTTCAAACAATTGAGTAGAGAAATTTTCTTTCAGAATGATTATATGTATTGATGAGTTTATCTTTCACTTTTCAGTATAATTGCAAATAAAAACTACCAATTTTGATATGTCCCCCATAAATGACTCTTTCATACATTGTAGGTTACAACACATTGCTAAGTTAAGGTGATGCAAAGTATAGACTTACAAAAAATACTTAAAAAATGAAATAATCCAAAGTAAAATTTAAATTACCAACATATTTTTAAAAAAATTAACACAAAAAAAGTTTTTAGCATCATTCTTCCAGTGTAATAATTCAAACTATTGACCAATAAATGGAAAAATAAATAGAAATTTTCTTCTGGAACATTTTTAATACTCAGTTTTTGACAAATTTTTCTTCCTTCTTCAGAAATGAAAATTTAATTTCTTTAAATGAGGGAAAAAGATAATTTATAAAAACTAATCTTACATTTAATAGCTATTTTTAAGCATAAAAATCAGGAGTCAGCTTTATAGATGAATGATTTACACATCGATAAAATAGTGCTTTTAGATTTCAAGCAAATAAACTAGCATATTTGAAAGAATAAATGCTTAATTTATTTTTATATATACAGTCAGACCATTGCAAGATGAGCATTCGGTAGGTTTGCTGTTAAGAGTTCATATTGTAATGGACAGACTAGACTTAACAGATCATGCGAAAAAATATTTTGAATTTAATACACAGTGAAACTCTTTTACGGGCTTCCAATGTCCACTTTTTTAAGGCGTAAATTTTTTATTTTATCAACTAAAAAATAAAAAGTCATGTAAAACTAAATAATCCTATAAAAACAACAGATTAAAAGTGCAGATTCAAAATTTGGTTTTTCCAAAATGCATTTAAAAATTTTGCTTTTACTCAGCAAATATGCCCCTTAGATAAATAACAGAAATATTTTTTTTTACTTCTGACATTAATTCAGAATCAGTCTGATCAGCAAGCAGATATGATGAACAGCCTAGCAGACATTTTATCATATCACATTTAGAAAGCAAGAATATTTAAATAAATGCTATTGCTTTCAATTTTAAAAAAAGAATTAAAACACCTTAACTGTTTCATAGTTAAGAAACTTAAATTTAAAAAAAAAATGAAACAAAGGTTAATCTTTTTTTTTTTAAAAAAACTAACATGTAGTAACTTTTAAATTACACCTATTGATTTCAGTGTATTAAAACGAAATGCAATTTAGTTTGTAAATATTTTTGTGTAAATTTTAATAATAATCCAAACCCTGATAATTTGTTACCTCTTTTAATGATAAGATTTTTGTAGAACATATGTTGACTCCCAGAAAGTTTCACTGTATTATCTCTTTATAGTTTTAAAAATAAATTACAAGGAAAAAAATTAACATACATTTTACAAATTACAAAATTATTTGATTCAAAATTTCATTCATATAAGAACATCCATAAAACCTAATCAAAAAAAATTTCAGACATACAAAATAAACAAGAGAGTAATATTGTATGAAAAAGTAAAAATATAATAGTCTACATTTTTTTTCCTTTAAAAAATGTTTAAAAACTCTTAACGTATATATAGTACTACTTATACACTAAGCAATAACATAAACATTAACACATCAATCTTATTCATGCAAAATGTTTAATATATTTATGTAAATTATTTTGGTAATATCGTGACAATACTACCTCTTTTAACGATTGATTATTTGTGGAACATCAGATTGTGGCTCCCGGAAAATTGCTCAGTATTATGATTTTAACAGCTTTCAGAAAAAATTATTAAAACAATGAGAATATACATTGTCATGCCACTGTAGGCATTACAGATTTCCTAACTCCTTAATTTCATTTCTGAAATCTCTATTCATTTTGAATTTTTAATATTTTTTTAGTGAATAAATTCGTTGATAAATTTGTGTTCCACATTCCTTAATGAGTAGATGTCGAGTTCTATCTCTTAATCGTTAGCTTCTATTTAATGTAAACTCAGAAAAAATTATTATTAAAGGTTTTAACAAAGCAGAATATTAAATATATACATTTTTTAATCTTTCTCTTTTCATCGACTATCATATAACCATATTACTGCTGTGCAATTGAAAAAACAATGTAAATAGCTTCACAATAAATTTTTAAGGAAGTTACAATTATTTTTTCCCTTTGTTAATACAATCAACATTAAAATAGAATTTTAGAACTGATAAAATAAGATATTTGAGAGAAAATTTTATTGGGATATTTATCACATATAACTGTCAAATAAATAAAAAGATCAATTTTATATTACACACATTACATTAATTTTCTATAACAAGACAATACATTATTAGGTTTACTTTATTTCATCGATTTTATTTTTTGTGGATTTCCTTCCAAGCCAAATATTTTTTAATATTAACATTAGATATCACAGATTTGGCTTAATAGAACTTAGATTCCCTCATTGCGTAAAATTTAACAATAATTAACAAACTTATTTATACCCCAAAAGAAGGATTAAGAAATAAAAATATAAATTTTTGAAAAAAATTAAAAAGGCTAAAAAAATTTAATACCTACATTGACATGATATACATTTAACTAATAAACAAAGTTTTCTTATTTAAAAATTCATTCATAATGAGAAAATGTGCATAAACTAATCAGTTATTAATTTAAAAAATGCATTTAAAATGAGAAGAAATATCTAAACTTATCAATTCATTTAAACCAAACAATACAGATTAAGTCATTGAATATAAAAATATTTGTTACAAAAATATTGTTTTATTCAAGAGAATTTCAGAATTCTAATCACATATTTTCTTAACACTTTCGTTTACATGCCATTCAAGGTGATATAGTAAAGTTTCAGAAACATATTTGTTGTATTGGTGTACCTATGGCCCAGAGAACAAATGCATAAATTTTAACATATGAAATTTTTAATTTAAATTTCAATTGACTTATATTATTCAGAATAGTTTACCATTACACAGTTTCTTAAATGGTTAATTGTTTTTTGATGCATATGTTTTTATCTTATGAAGTCACTTTTCAACAACTTGTTCTAACTGAACACTGTTAGAGATATGACTATTTCCAGTCAGCTGACTTTCAGAAGCATTACTATGGTTAAATTCTGAAGGATTTAATTTGATAAGAATGCATGTCATATTATCACAGCCAGTTCCATCACCACTAGTGTCCGGGGATATAATGAGCCTAAACAACTGGAAGAAAGTACTTGTAATTATAAAATATAAATTTTGCAATGATTTATGAAATAAATATTTATAACCACACTAAATAAAAAGTGCAAAAAAGATGATAGTTATATATATTTTTTAATTTTAAAGGTTTTTTTTTACTTAAACTTTTAAAAGTTGTTAAATACAGAAAGAGTAGTGACTTTTTATTAAATGATTTATGATTTTGCAGATGCACATTCATTAGTTTTTTAATAATAAATTTCCAATTTCTTTTTAATAAAAAAAGTAAAGAAAGCCTTGCTAATATTTAACGATGCTTTTTTTCAGTAGTTGAGCTATTTTTTTTTTTTTTAGATATTTCACTTAATTTTAAGAATTTCACCCTGTTCTTGGGAAAGGGAGTAATTTTTCATTTTTTTCTGTGAAGAAAACCCTGAATAATGACAATACTTTACAAAAATTTAGTAAATTTTTGAAATATATATAGGAATATTTTTAATTAAACTTTTTCCAAAATATGTTCAGCAAATTTATTAAAATATTTAACTACCTGGTCAAATTTTTAAAATATTTGGTTACTAAAACCTAAGCAATACCTATCTTTTAGTCTGAAATTTATACTCATTCCATAAATTTTTTTAGGGAATTTCCAAGATAAGTGGCTTCTTTAACCCTGAACTCTCTGTTACTGTTTCAAGTTACTTGAGAGTGCTTTATCAACTCTAAAGAGATTAAAGACTTGGAGGAAGGTGATCAATTAGCAATGCACTACACCATCTGCGTCAAGATTTATTTCCATGCTCTTTGCACACAACAAAAGAAAGAAAATAATAAACATTTCCGAAATGGAGATACTAACTTCTTCAGAAATTATCCTCAAATTTTCTTCTTCTTTAAGTCTCATAGTAATGAAATCAACTACTTCTTGACTTGACATTGAATTCCTAAAACACAAAATTTTCACTATAAAATTATTGAAACAGGAGATTCGAAGAAAGTCACACTCATACTTTGCACTTTCTATTTATTTCTGTAATATTTGACAACTTTGCAACAAAAATATACTGTTCAGTAAAGAGAACTTTTTTTAAAATTGAATTTGTAATAAAAGTTACTTTTTATATAAGAGTTTATTTTGCCTTCGAAACCTAAAAGAAAATCAAACAACATTTGATAATTTATTTGAAATTAGGTTTCTATGTTACTATGTTAGTAAAGAAAAAATGCATGTGATGAATAGTGTAGTCTGTTCTGCAATGCTGTACAATATTTAGTACTCAAAACGTTCACTGCCGATCACACGGCAGCGTGTGGTGATGTCTCAGTAGCCAGTCACGTGTTGGCGAGGGAAAATCTTTTACTGATTATTCATTCTCCTGTTCATTTAGCATTGGATCAGTATTTCTGCTGGTATTGGCATGGAGTGATGATTATAAACTATATATATATAATTAAGGTTTCGAAATTAATATTTTATTTTTTATTGAAAAAATAATCTTGTGATATGAGTTATATAGATGATACTGCAGGGCCTTCACGCCCAAAAAAAAGAAAAGTTCAAAATAAAAAGGTCCTAACGATTGAAGAAATAGCAAATTAGTTGGCTGAGCTATCGGATGAGTACCCGAGTGACTTTAGTTATAACAGTGACAACGAATTTGTACCTCCCACTAATGCCCATGGTATTTCAGATTCTGATGATGACGATGAAGAAGAGCGAATCGTGCAAGAGGCTGCAAGCTAGCAGAATGATTCAGCCATGGTGCAAAAGCTAATTTCGGAAAACGATTCAACATCAATGAAGAAATTTCCTTCCATAAAATCCGAGTGTTTGCTCCAACCGTTTCAGGTAATAATCCTATAGATTTCTTTTGCCATTTTTTCACCGACGATATCTTGGAGGAAATAGTCGCTGAAACTAGTGATTATGCTCATAACGTACTTTTTCACCGTGAAAAAAAGAAACATTCTCGAATCTATTCCTGGAAGGACACCACAAAAGAGGTACTCTTGGTATTCGTGGGATTGATTTTACATATGGGAACTATACAAATGAACCGTATACAAGATTATTGGAAAACAGGTTCACTGTTTGGTTTACTTGCATTTTCAGAAAATATGAGCAGGAATCGGTTTTTGTTGTTACTGAGGGCATTGCACTTTGCAAAAATCCCAGAGCAGAATACAGAACCTCCAAAGGAACGACTGTATAAAATAAGAAATATGGTGAATTTGTTCAAAGTGAGAGTATCTGAAATATACTATCCAGGGCGTGAGATTAGTTTAGAGGAATCAATGCTACTGGACGGCTTATATTCAGACAGTATATACCAAATAAACGTCACAAATATGGCATCAAATTGTGCATAACAACCCCTCATGGCATAGTTCTGAAATTTATGGTATACACAGGTATGTTGGATGATTCAGGTGGAACAGGACAGACACAAAAAGTTGTTATGAATTTACTTGAGGGAATGCTGGATGTAGGACCTAGCGTATTTATGGATATTTATTATAACAGCTATGATCTTACAAAATGTCTTGCAGATAGAAAAGCTCATTGCACTGGGACAATCAGAAAGAACAGGAAGACATTTCCGAAAGATGTAAATGAAAAAAAACTGAAGAAAGGGCAAACTGTAGCAAAGTATGCTAATGGTGTGATGATTGCAAAGTGGCAAGATAAGAGGGATGTCACTTACACTTCCAATGAATATAAAATTATATGGTGGAAAAACAAAAGAGGTGAAGTTATACCAAACCTCTACCTGTAATTCAATACAATAAATTTATGGCCTTGTGGGAGAAAAACAATTAGGTGACCCACAAAAATATTTGTGCATATTTTGCAAATAACAGGGATGCGAGTAGTCAGAAAGTAAAAAAAGAGGAAATCCAAGAATGAATATATATATATATATCCAAAACATTTGACAAAAAAGTGCAATTTTCAAATTTGTAAACCATGTGATTATAAATCCTGATGAATAATTTTAAAATTGTATGAATATATGAATATGAATTAAATGCATGATTTTAAATTGAGAGAATATGAATCCTGATATGAGTTTTTAAATCACGTGAATATGATCATCGAATACATCGAATTTAAAAAATTCGAAAATACAAATCATGATGCGTAATTTTCAGATCACGTAAATACGAATAACGATGCACAATTTTTAAATCGCTCGAATGTAAATCCCAATGTCTAATTTTTAAAGCAAGTATGAATACGAAAATCGATGTTTGATATTACAACCCTAAAAACGAATCACGAATTGGATTTTAAGCTCGCGTAAATACAAATCGCTACATAGGGTTTTAAAAGCATGTCAATACAAATCACAACATGGGATTTTTAAATCTCGTAAATAAGACTCGCAATGTATGATATTTAATTCGCCTGAATAAGAATCGCAATGTTGAACTTTTAAATCAGGTAAATAGGAAAATCAATGTTTGATAATAAAATCGCAATTTTAAATATGCATAAATACAAAACGCGATATTGGATTTTTAAATCCTGTAAATAAGAATCATAATGTAGAATGTTTAAATAGCGTAAATAGGAATCGCAATGCGCAACTTTTAAATCAGGTAAATACGAAAATTGATGATCGGTATTAAAATCGCGTGAATAAGAATAGAGATATATGCAGAGTCTGGACTTGGGATTTCTAAAAGGCTTGTTTGTATTGTTTTTGTTTAGACATAATAAATAAAAATTTACAAGATTAATTGAATGAGCAAAAAAAAATTTTTCACCGCAAATCCACCTCCATTTTTTTCCCCGTTTGCTCTCACGCCAGAAAACAGGAAGCAGTGACATCTGAATTGCGAAAATACGAGTTATCCGGCAGACGGATAAAAATACGGAAAATCTTATTTCTGTAAGTAAAATCGTAGAGAATAGCTAAAATAAGTAAAAATGCAGAAGGGTTAGCAGCTAGGACGTAGTTTGAATTTTCTGTTTATCTTCGAAAACCGTAAATAAATATATTTTATTTCAACGACTAAATTTTTTAAAAAAAGCGGGATATTCATTTTTAAAAAAAAGAAACTTTTAAAGAATCGGAGTTTTTGATAAAAAGGCTGAAATTCAAGAGAAAAAAGCGAAAAAGTGGAAATCTGCTAAAAAGAGGAAAAATCTCATCCCTGTGTAAAGGTCAACCAGTTTTATCCCAAGGAAATGATTTTCAGAGAAACTTCAGAGGGAGGAATGAGGACCTCAATACTTTTGCTCCGTGGAAAATTAAATCCCTCATAAAATATTTCAACTTGTGCAAAAAACAAATTTTTGCGGAAATTAGCACGAAAAATGGAAAAATCTGAAAAAAGGCGGAAATCTGCGAATCCACGGAAGAATCACATGCCTGAAATAATGATGAACGTTATCTATAATAAGTATTCCAATGAAAATACACCACTGCATGACTTTTGTTTATCCGTGATACGAAGTTTACTGAAACAGCCACCTGTTCTTTGCGCTCCTGTGTGTGATCAGTCTAAATCTGAAAATGTGCTGAGTATGCGGAAAGAGACAAAAGCTGGAAAGATTCTAAGAAAGCAATTCAAAAGTTGCTATTCCCAAGGGAAACATAAAGATACCATTTATATCTGCAAAGTTTGTGATGGATCTCCCGGTTATTGCTTGGATTGTGCGAAGATTACCCACAAATGAATGTTAAAAAATATTATTTTCAGTAATAATATCATTGTAACCAACTTATAATATTTCATTTATATTAAATATTTGTTAGTAATAAAGAATCATACAAAAATAATGCATTTTGAAACTTATTTTCATTATGTTGTTTGATTTTTACGCATCACACGCTAGCGCGAAATGTGGCATTTAGAAAATAATTTTACCTGTAATGCTTATCATGCGCTGGCGTGTGGTCAAAATATTCTATCAGGAAAGGCCTGCATATTACTCAGTAATCAATATGACGCACATAATTATGCTTTATTACAACTTTTCAATATATTTGTTATAAAAAGTAAATCTGCTTCTGGGAAAAACCCTCATCTACAGTGGGACAATAATTATCATCATATCCTCACCTGACCAGCAGCGAACGTATTAACCAGCATAGAACTAAACTTTAAAACTAGTACAATTTTTATGATGGGTGAATAAAGATACGATAATCTCGATTTTTGAGGAAAAATGACATGTCTTTCTTCTTGTTATTAGACTCGGAAGAATGATACGAAAAACGTGGAATTCCGGGAAACACCTGAAATACAATCACCCTTGGTTTGAATAATAAAGTATTCTTGAATATGAATTCCTCCTTTTGTGATTTTTATGCAACTAAAGATCACTCAACAATAAAAAAATTAACTATTTTATATGCTTCACAAATTAAAAGTAGTAAATGACTATGATGAACAAAGTGTGAAAATAGCAACTGCTTCAATTTACACAATGAAGTACATTGAAAAAAAAATTTGGTAATTTTTAATGTCTAAAAAATGATAAACTTTATAATTTTCATGTAGCAATATAATTATAATTATTGCGTAGCAATAGCCTTCAAATTTGCTCGAAATCTTGGGAAAAGTATAAATATGTAATATATCACTTATTTTTAAACATTTAAATGCATCCACCTGTCACTTAATATTTTTCAAGAAGATTAAAATCTTATAAAACATTTAGGTCAAATGACAACATTGCACGGTATGTTAGCTGAAATTATTATTATTTTTTTACTATAGAGAGTTGAAACACATGAATGTATAATAAATGCATTTTCCAATAACTAAAAACATTTCAAATAATAATAAATACGAAAGAAAAAACCTACCAAATACCATCAGAGGCAACAATAATGAATTCATCTTTTTCTTCAACAGCAAGAGTTGTTATGGAAGGTTCAACAGTAACACACTGCTCAAAAGGAGCTAAAGAAGCATCCTTATAATAAAAGTCACCTGGAAGGAAAGCAATATGATATACAAAATTTCGCTTTTGTAAATAATATTGTTCATTTCTTTAGTTTTTCTCAATTTTTGGTAAGCCTGTGTTGTAACTTCAAAGTCAAAAAATTAATAAATACATAAAAACTAAATCTAATTTCTACATCAAAGGTTGCACAACCAAAGGATCATCTGCCGGAATTAGTCCGTAAAATTCATTTAAACTTGGCCCCTGAAGTAATTCAAAAATTTTATGAAAAGTTCACATTTGCAGTAAATGACTATTTTAATTTCAAATTTTTTACTATGCATTTTTATACACTTTTCACAATAATTTGATTTGTTATCATGTAAGTATATTTATTTAGATTTTCATTAGATATTTTCTTTATTTTTGTTATCTACACTGATGTAAAAAAAATAGTCATAATAAGTTGGTATTATATCCTTCATGCACTTCTATGATAGAAGTTTTATTTTAATATTGGCCCTGAGCATTGTATTTTCAGTTTTTGAGGCACACTATCTGAAAACGTGCATCTCTATGTAAAATCAACCTATTGGTCAAATTACGAGCTAAGTTTTTTTTTAAATATAAGCCGTTATAACAGTGATAAATTACAGCCGTTTCAACAGTCAAAACTTATACTGCAACACTTTGTTATTTCTTTATTATACTGCTTTAAAAAATTATATGCTTAAATATTAAAAGTTTTTAACATTAATTTTTTTTTCACCCTTACTCATATTGAATAAAAAATATTTTCTGCTTGAATGAATAAAAATTTACAAGAAGGCTTGAAAAGATTTCAGAAATTTTATGAAACATAATTTTCATAAAGCAGAAATCATAAATTTCTCGTTAACTTAAAACAATACTTATACATTAGTATTTTAAGTTAACCAGAAAAGAATATTGAAATAATAAGCTGCTAAAAATCATATGAAAATTTCCATCAAATTTTTTCTAGCTATGTTCTTTTCACAAAATTTATCCAAATTAACTTTTTTAATTTTCAATATTCAACTAATTCGTTGCTAAAGGCAGCTAGGCATGAATTTTTAATCTTTTTTTAAAAAAAAAAAAAAACAATTTACCGAATGCTCTAGAAAGGTTAAGGCTTTTATTAATACGTCCCTCAGAAACAACTGATCCAGTAGCATTTATCCTTTTCATTTCTTCAGGATCATCGGGTTTGTGATCAATAGACAAATCAATTGCTTCTCCACCTCTGGACAATACACACCTTGAGTCTCCAACATTGGCACAATAATAGTGTTTACTTCCAATCAAAAGCACAGTACCAGTAGAACCACTATGTACTCCAGGCTATAAAAATTATCATAATGAAAGTAATAAACCTTCCTAGTATTTTTTCACTTATATTTTTATATCTCTTTGGGGAAAAAAAGACCATAAGCAGCATAAAATTGAAAAACATGAAAATCATAATTTGGTCCACTTTATAAATTATTAAATTTAATAAAATCTAAGCATTGTAAAATACAGTATAAATTTAGTACTCAATCCTTTCATGCTTAACAACTAACCTATATTTGTGATATAACACATTATTGAAAACTTAGGAATCGGGAGAAATAAGTAAACAAGGTTTATTGGAGAGTAGAAACATCCAAAAGTAGTACAAGAGTTAACTCGATCAGCATCAGGAAACAGCACAGAATTACACTTCTACAGCAGTAGAAGAGTTGAGGTTCATAAGAATATAACTAGTAGCCCGTGGAATCAATTAACTATGTTAACCTGGCAGATCTGAAGTTTTGTATTACTAGCACAAATATCAGATTCCTGGAATTTTAAGCACTTGGAGTCATTACTCAAGACAGAGAACAGCGGGCTATCATATTTCAACAAATTCTATCTAACAATGTCTTTTTTGTTGTTGTTAATACTTAATTCATATTAGTAGAGAGCAATATGGTGAACAAAAATTTTAATCTCAGTAGAATATCACGCCAACAGGACTTATGCAAAGTAACAATATAATACCAAAAGCTAAGGAAGAGAGAGTTACTTGGCTTTTAACCGCAATCTTATTTGTATTACGTCAATGTCAACTACTAACACATAAAAATAAGTATTAAAATTCACTTAATAAAAATAAATGCTATTTCTCCTTCATGATATACAAAGCAACAAATCTGCCTTAGGTGATTTGCTTTACAATCACTAAATAAATGTAAACAAAAGAATTTAAACGAAATCCCTTATCTGATAAGTAACATTAGTAGAGTGACGCTTTTGAGTTTGCCAAGTAACAAAAAGTTACATACAATCAATCTAAATTATTATGTAAAGTAAAATCTGGATTATTTGAAGTAACTAGATCTTTGCTTATGAAAGTTTTAACTATCTGTCAAAAACCTAGGTGTTGTTAGGTATAGCGCCACTAAGTAAAACATGGAATAGATGCTGCCCTTGGGTTTCCAAGAAGTTTTTCCAAAATTTATTGAACTAGATCAATCGGTTTTGCTTCAAATGCAAAATAATTATCCTTAGAACAAGACTTTCAAATAATCAAAGATAAATTAACCTGATGTATAAACTGAAATTAATTCAATTTGCTTCAAGAACATACTAATGTGCCTTTAAATATGATGAAGTACCTGTACTTTATAAAACATTAGGGCTCCTAATTAGCCTGTTACAAATATTTTTTTTATTTACATGAAATTATTATCTTGGTCTTATTAATAAAACTTCCATTCCAAGTGCTTCGCATTTATTATGATACTAAGTTTGCATTTTTTAAATTATCAAGGCTGATTACAGAGATTTAAATCACTCTCATTTTTTATTCATGAACTTCAAGAACCAACGGAAAGTTAAAAGACGTAAAAAGTTCTAAAGTTATTCATCTGTCTTTTGATAAAATAACAACAGGACATAAGAAAGTAGACCAATAACGTAGACCTAAAAAATATTTTTAAGGACAGAAAAAAAATTCCGATTTTCGTCTTCGAGTCAGTCTTGTTTCCGTCCGCGGACATTTTCGAAGGACGGAAGACTTGCACCCATATCCCACCTAAGTGCCAAACAATTTTCCAAAGGAATATTTTTCAATTTAAGTATTCAACACTAAAATTAAGTATTTAACACTAAATTTCCAATGCTCTGTCCTGCAGAGCTTTAGTCTAAAGTCGGCACTGCAAGCAGCGATACTTTGATTCTGCCCGCTTTTGTATCGAAGTTACACACAACTATAGGGTAGAGTTACGCATCTGTACTGTTGCTGCCATCAGTAGCTGCAGCATCCATTTGTTTCTGAAGAGATTCAACAATTGAAACATTTTTAACATCCACAATTTTTGATACAATAGCAGCAGTTTTTGTTCATCCTGCACCATATTTTTTTTGCAACATTGTTTTTTGGGAATATTCTCCTTAAAAATGGGCCCGCATGATCTGCGACACTAATAGGTAGATTGTGTTCTACAATGAACGACGTAGAATACACTTCGGCCCCTATTACATTGTCATCACTTCCAGGGGCAAAATATAGTGCGGCTTTGAGGGGAACAGCTCCCAACAAAAAGTCTGGGGCTGTCTGCTGCTATGGTAACGAAAGAGGTAACATTTCTAATGGGGGTGTAATGGAGAAATGAAGGAGTCGTTGGTCTACCAGATTGGCTGCTTTATCCGCTTCCAAGAAACCTATTCAAATTAATATTTCAACAATCTTTTGCTTTCTCTCAGGAAGAAAAAATAATATAGGCTTTAAACGAAACCATATTTTCATTTATACTTTTACTGGTGTAGTGTTGCTACAACTCTCTTTCCTTTTTATGACAATCAGTGAGCCTATTTCTGCCCTAACTGTCTGACAGTTTTAGATAGCCTCTCTGTAAATAAATTAAGCAGTTTTGGTCTGCCAATTTCTGTGTAAGGGTTGAAAACCTGTGAAGAGGGGCAGGAGAGAGGTGAGGAAGAGAGGGGAGAGGACTGGACTAGCTGCTAGAAGAAGTGGAGAAAAGGATTTTTGGTAGAAAATTCTGAAGAATAAAGATACATCTACCCTGAAAGAATGGCTGCAACAGGACTGAACAATTAAGATAAATCCAGCGAATAATATCCTGCCACTTACAAATAGATCATCAGCTCCTCAACATTTTTAAGCAATTACACTGGATATGCGTTAATTTATTTGGAATTCACCTGTTATTTATTTATTGGAAATAATTTTTTTTAATGGTGGTTAAAACATTTTTGTAATCAACCTCTTTTGTCTCATGAAAAAACTTTTGAGATTATTTCTCTGTTTCGGTCAAAAATTTTTTCTCTGATAAAGAAAAATATTTATCCTTCCTTTAATCGCTACATTCAAAAGGCATTTGATTTAGGTTTCTTATACGCAGTTTCTCTTTTTTCATGCGATTAATTTATTATTTGTTGTTAAATACATAAAACTGGAATAAGCATTTCATAAACTGAATACATCATGTCATTTCATTCTTGTCTAAGACTTGACATAATTGTAAAAATATGACTCTACGGAAATGATGTTTAAAATCTATTAAATTTTATTACTATTCCAAAGATAAATAAAAAACTAAAATTTTATGTATGATTTTGATATCAAAACTTATAATTAAATTAACATTATTATATAATTATTAGTTTGCCGTTTGTTTTTAAAAAAAGTAATTTCAAATTTGTATTTAATTTTTTGCATTATAATTTTTGTTTGTATAAAAAAGAATCTTATTTTCATACAGCTTCTTAATACAATTTATTAAATGATCGGATAAAGCATTTACACTTCATACAGAAAATTCATTAACATTATTTCTGACATTTTTTTTATCTTTGAAATTTTAAGGACTAAAACTTTAAAAAATATCTAACTGAGAAAAAGAAATCAAAATTTAAAAATTAATTAAATTAATCAATTTAAAAGTTAAAAACTCGTTCAAAACATATCTACAAGAATAATGTCTTATGCGACTCGAAAAGCAACTTTTTGCTTCAAATATTTTGTTCTTATTTTAAATTTTATAATACTTAGTGATTCTTACTTTAACTTTTTTAATATTGTAGATTTAAAATAAATAAATAAATAAGTAAATAAAAAAGAAACTTCTTAGTTATAATGTTTTAGTCTTTTTAAAAAATATTTAATTTTGTTAAAAAACTAAGAATTTTGAAAAGTTAAAAAAAGAGTTAAAGAATATTAAAAAAAATTAATGAGACAAAAATAAAAGCAAACAAGATAAAATTAACAACGATTAAAAGAAGAAAAAAAACTCTAAACAAGCTTAAAACTAACAACGATTAACGATTAAAATAATCACGAAAAAAAAATCTTTTAAACACTAAGAAAGAAAGACTAGTTCTCTAGGTCTGCCACTAATACTAGGGAAGGAGAGTAAAGATTCTCCAACTTGTGCCAAAGCCAAGATCATTACATAACTTGTCACTTTCACTCCACACCCCTATTAGAAGTGACCTACCCTCGTATCTATAGTTCCCGCCAATACGCGAGACAGGTGTCTGGAGCTGTTCTCCTGAAAGCCGTACTATACTTGATAATGTTTTTGTTTTTATTAACCAAATCCGCCAAATCCTTATGTCTCTTTGTGCATTTTAAAATCTGCTATCCCCATGTGCTATTTTAAAATCTTGTCTGCAAACAGTACAAAACGCATAGTACTGCGATTTGTTGGACTAAAATATGCAAGGAATGCTTTTAGAATAAGAATCTTAAAATATCTGATAGTAAACTTTAAGAGACATTACAAATTTTAAAACAAAATCATGCCACAATCCAAGTGCACCAAATGGCAAACTCAAATAACATTGATGTTGCCTAAAAGCACTTTTAATCAAGAAACTCCGTAATCTAGGGGTAAAATGAGTTAGCAATGCTTATCCATTGATATTGCAGGTCATGTGATCTCATACATCAGAGGTCTAACTGGCTGATTTTGCCGAAGTGCATATTTTCTCTAATTGGTTACAGATTGTTTGCGTTTCACGTGATTAGCTCCCAAAACCAACCGCAATCCGATTACAACTTCTCTGGGACAAGTTTTCTTTTCTTTTTTAGTGAAGATTTAAAAGTTTGTAATCATTTGAATTCGCAATTTAAATAAGCATATTGTCAATTTTTTTTCCTCCTTAAAAATACAACTTCAGAACTGTAAATAAATACACTACAGTCAGGGATGAGAGTAGTCAGAAAGTAAAAGAGAGGAAATCCAAGGGAATTAATAAATAAATAAAATAAAAAAATTATATATATAAATATATATATATATATATATCCTAATAATAAAGATATAAAAATTTTTGTATTTTATTTTCTTCAATGGAAATTGCTCTCTTTAATTTCGCCAAAAAAGTGGATTAAAAAGATTTTTTCTACACAGATGTTATTAGCAGCCCTTTTCTTCTGTATGTCTAAATTTAGATACCATAAGTCAGTACTAAGCGTTCAGCAATTTCTTAAAGTAGTAGTTACGCATTTTTCGATGCGTATCTATCTAAAGAACACTGATGGAACTTACATTATAAAATTACGGTAAAATAACCGGCAGTAATCTGACTAGCTGCAATCTCCAACAAGCGGTANACGATATTGGATTTTTAAATCTCGTAAATAAGAATCATAATGTACGGTATTTAAATAGCGCAAATAAGAATCGCAATGCTCAACTTTTAAATCAGGTAAATACGAAAATCGATGATTGATATTAAAATCGCGTGAATAAAAATCGAGTTATTTGCAGAGTCTGGACTTGGGATTTCTAAAAGGCTTGTTTGTATTGTTTCTGTTCAGACATAATAAATAAAAATTTACAAGATTAATTGAATGAGCAAATAAATATTTTCACCGCAAATCCACCTCTATTTTTTTTCTATTTGTTTTCACGCCAGAATACAAGAAGCAGCGACATCTGAATTAGGAAAATACTGTTGAAAAATAGGGGCCAGCTTACTAAGTATAAGATATTGAAGACATCTACTACTACTCAAGAATTCACTTAAAGAAACTGTACAACTAAGAAACTGTACAACTATATTTATTGAATATAAGTCTTTAAATATAAAGTAAGAAAAACTACATTCAATTAAACTAAACAGAACTCTTTAACATCACATAGCTCTCTCTAAACATAACATAAGAGAAGAAACATCTTCTATCCAAAGCTGAGATATAACTGACTAAAAACAGAAAAACCCACTTCCTTCTAGCTGAGATAACAGGAAGTGACCCAGCCAAGAGGAAAATACTGCCCATCTATTTGTTTACATTTTCCAACAAATACGAGCTATCCCGCCGTCGGATAAAAAATACGGAAAATCTTATTTTCTGTGCGTGAAATTGGAGAAAATAACTAATATAAGTTAAAATGCGGAAGGGTTAGCAGCTAGGACGTAGTTTGAATTTTCTGTTTATCTTTGAAAATCGTAAATAAGTATAATTATTTTACTTCAACGACTGAATTTCAACAAAAAAAAGCGGGATATTTATTGAAAAAAAAAAAAAAAAACGAAACTTTTAGAGAATCTGAGTTTTTGATAGAATGGTTGAAATACGAGAGACAAAAAAAATCTCATCCCTGTATAAAGGTCAACCAGTTTTATCCCAAGGAAATGATTTTTAGAGAAACTTCAGAAGGGGGAATAAAGACTTCAATAATTTTGCTCCATGAAAAATTAAATTCCTCATAAAATATTTTAACTTGTGCAAAAAAAAAATTTCAGTGGAAATTAACGGGAAAATTGGAAGAAAAAAAAAGCAGAAATCTGCGAATCCGCGGAAGAATCTCATCCTTGTACAGTATCATTTTAAAGCTAGTCCATATGATTGAGTAAAATACAGTACACTGTTCTGTGAAACCGTACAAGTTTTCAGGTTTGCATCTGTTTTCCTAAAAAGTTGAAACAGTTTCATTTAAAAAAAAATAATAAAAATTTTCAAAGTCTGCCTATTATTGAAAAGAAACAGTGCTGGTTATCTAATTGGCTAATTTTACACAGTATAAAATTATTTACTTTACTTATAATGGATAATTGTAGATTTTATTTAAAAAAAATATCTACAATTATCATAAATAAAACAAAATACCTCTAAGTTCTCCATATCTTCAAATGTTTCTTCATCTCCACTTTCACTACTTCTGTTAAAGGGAAAATATACTTTCTATATTCAAAATTGAATTCAAAAACTATAAATGTGGATAAATCTATAATCATAGAGCTATAAAAATGCAAAATTTCTAGAATACAGGACCAAGTTTTAGGAAATTGCATGTTTTGGGATGGCATTACAGATATGTGAAGTAGCGTAACAAATATTAGCCTTAATAACAATATAATAAAACAAATGCCTTTATTATGTAACATGTCTATTATGTAGGCATATATGAAATAAGATTTTTGTATTAGATCCAATGTTGTAGTTAATTGTTCTTTATAGGGTTAACAAAGAAGCCTAAATTTATAAACAATGTTAACTTACGATTCTTCATCTTCAACATCAAAATCATCATCTTCTGGGTCAGAAGTTTCTAAATCCTAATAAAACAAATATTTAATTTTAAAAGAATAATAAACATACTGGAAAAAGACAAAAACAAACTTTTGGTTGCAAATAAGAAAATCATACCTGATGTTTAAAAATAAAAAGAGAAAAAATATTTATCACAACTCTTTCCTTAATGGGAACTATTGTCTAACAGTTACAGAATCATAAATCTGAGTCTTGCAAGGGCCTTAATGAAGTAAGTCAATCATGCAATCATAGGTGATTAATACTAGCTTTAACTAAATTCATTTACTCGAATACTAATTTTCACAATAAACTTGCTCTTTCTTCCTTCCTCATTAAAGGTGCACTCTTACTTGTTATCATTCCAAAGCATCTAGAATTCCTTGATGTTTTGCATATTAATTGTAAAAGATTTTAGATCTGTAGATTTTATTTTTTATTCTATCAGCATTTCTATAATTCACAATTTTTTTTTTTTTTTGATTTAGAAAAGTTACCTGAATTTAAAGTCAATCAAGAGAGTTATTAGAAGTTATAACATTTAGATTTTTAAAAAAAATCACTTCCACAAAGAATAACTTACTTATTAAAAAAATGTAGAAGTTCAGAAGATTCCACTCGATTTCCAGCAGGATACAATTTGTAAAAACGCAAATACTATAATAATTTTACTTTTGAAACACTCCAGGTGATACCCTCGGTGAAAATAAAATGGTTTTGCTCTGCAACCTTAACAATTAAAATTAACACTGTGAAAATTATAAATGAAAAATTTAAACTTGATTATAGACTGGGCTTAAAATATCATTCAGACAAAAATAAGGGTGTAATCTTACATTTTAAGTATATTTAAGTCAAGTTCTGATAATCAAAGCTAGGCCTGATGTGTAATGACTCCAACAATATGTGTTACTAGAAGGAAAAGAGGAGAATTTACCAGATAAAAAAAAAAAAAAAAAAAAAAAAAAAAAAAAAAAAAAAAAAAAAAATTAAATTTTATAAGCATATTGACTTACATAAGTTGCAATATAGTACAGAAAATGCAAAATCTATAAGATATAAGTGGGACACAATATTGTGTCAAAAAGCTATAAATCAATTATAAAAGCAAATTCAGTTCAGGATTAGTTATTCTAATGATGGATTTAGGAACCTTTCTTCACATCTAAAAATTTCATTAAAAGAACGTAAACATGCAGTGTGATTTTTCAATCAACTTTATAATATTCTCATTCACATGAATTCTTATCACAATTTTAATGTTTGAAAAGGAATTATGTTCACGAATTACCTCTAAATCTTGTGCAAACTAATCCATTCCTTCTTATTAAAGAAAGCGAAAAGTTTTGGGTCACAAGCTCAATAAAAATCATTTGCATTATTATTTTATTTTTTACTCGTGAATAGAAACTGCTTATTGCTAGAACTTAACTTTATTTACAATTATGATAAAGAAGATAGTGAATGTATAGATTTTTTCTTGTTAATGAAGTATTTTGTAACTTAAATTATGAACATAACTACAGACGTGCCAACCTGGGAAAACGAAAAAACAGCAGGCTTTCAAAAGGAAGAGAGAAATGATCACGCAACAGTGAAACATGCAAAATAAGACAAAAGTTTTTAAGAAAAAGATTTGTAAATAACAACACTTTAGTCTTAAAGGAGACTTTATTCAGTACATAAAGAATAATTTAAGTAATTGTACATAATGTTAAAATTATATATCAAAATTAAACAACTGTCAATATTAATATCTATAATACTGAATAGCAACAACAGTAAGTAAATTTATTTAGCTAATTCATAAATTGATTCAAGATAGTGATCTTTTATTTAAAAATAAATAAATAAATGGGCTAAACTATGTTATTTTTAAAAAATATAATAAATAAAAGTTTAGGTGACTAAATCAATAACTTTCTTTAAATGGAAAATTAGAAATTTCATTTTTAATAAAAAATACTTTAGATTGATGATCAAAATTTTTAAGAAATTAAAATGTGCAGAAGGCACAATTCAATCCTCTTTCAGAAACAATAATTTCAAGAAATTCTTCCGAATAAGCTTGGTTGAAAGAAGTTAAATATTTCTTATTAAGTTCTTTTCCTGCCATTATATATTTTCACAAAAAAAAAACTAACAAGACAGAAGAAATCATAACAACAAACTCAGATTTGAAGTGTCTGATATTGAGGGTTGGCACGTCTGATAACTCTATATTAACTTGTAGAAAACAGTTGTAAACATTAAATATAATGGTGTTGTCAATTTGTATTTATTCAACCTAACCCACATAGGACACAATTTAAATATAACTATTATTATCTGATTGGACTTCATATTTAACATGGAGGAAAGTACAAATGGCAATTAAATTCTTCAAGATAACGTAAGTTTAGAAGTAAAAAAGGCGGCAATATAACCAATTTTTTGGAGACAAACCTAATTTGCCAATTTGAGGTACAGTTTGCTAATTGCAATATTACTCATGATTTAACTCTTTTCATTCTGAAGCACTGCTGAAACACACTGCCAAGCAGTGTTACATTTTCGCAGGCCCTTTGATGCATAGAGGGAATCAACCGTAGAATTATAAATCAGGCATGAAAGTGGACGAAAATAAAAAAAGTTGAACTTTTACAATGCAGTCACAGGGTGGGGGGAAGGGAGTATTCTATATAATACTGTTAGATCAATAAGATATATAAAAACATATTTTAACTCTGCCAGAATATTTTTATTTTATCAAACTTGCATTTATTTTTTCACCTGCATCGATCGTATGCATTTTGTGTTCGCCTTTCAAATTGACTACAGTTGTTAAAATATATTCATCTTACTCATAGCTGCTAACTTGTTAAAAACAAAAGTAGGAGCACAAAGCATAATAAGCCAATCAGAGGTGATTATGACACAAAGTTAAAAACAAAATATCATAAAACAAAATATCATAAATCAAAATATCGATATCAAAATATCTATATATTTATAAACCATACACATTTCATAGCTAACAACTTTTAGAGCAAACAGTTTTAAAACACTTACTAATGAAGAGTATCACATCTTTGTAGTAACTGTTTCAAGAAAAATCTTACTCCTTTCAAGAATCGAGATATTGGATTTTAAAAAAAACGTGAAAACGAATAGTTCAGTTGGATTTTAAAATTTCATGAATATGAATCGGTATATTAGATTTTAAAAAATCAAATTTAATTTAATTTTCAAATAGCGTAAATAATAATCACGTTGCATAATTTTTAGATCACGTATAAATACGAAAATCAACTGTGTGATTACGAACGTCAATATTGGATTTCAAAAATGGGTGAATACGAACCGCGACATTGGATTTTAAGCCCACGGGAATACGAATGACAACAGTGCATTTCTTTTTATCACTAAATCACTCAGTGCATCAAAGGCGACAGTGATTGGAATCATTGCGATTCAGTCACCTCTATTGCAACTGCTTATTCAAATTATGTGTTTCGGATAATTTTCTTATGAAATGATTCAGATCAGTGATTCAAATTATGCAACTTAGATCATTATTCGAAGTGATTCAGATCACTGATTTGAATCAAAAGCTTTAAAACATTATTCAGCTTAGATTCAAAGTAGAGTTGAACTTACCTTGCAATCTTTTTCCCATTACCAAAACGAAGATGGAAAAAAAAATGTTTTTTTTTCTTCTTGTTAATGAATTCTTTCAAGTAAATATATATTATTTAAATAAATTATATCTATTCCATTATATCTTTCGTATCATTATATTGTATATGTTGTTAAATGCCATAAATACTTTTAAATGTCATAATTTTTAAGAAACTAGAAAAAAAAATGAATTACTATTTTTTTCATTTATATTTTACCTGAATTCTTTGCATGAAAACTCTTAAGTCCTTAATAATAAATGCGTAAGAGTTTCTAAGGTTCTACAAGAAATTTTTAACTATATATGACACAGCATCACTGCGAAACAAAACTGAAATTTAAATCTATTTAGATAGAATCAATAGATTTGATCAATCCTAATTTGAATCAGTGTTGCAAGTTGATGATTCAAATAAGGAAATCTATTCAGTGAATCGAATCACTGAATTGAAAATCTAGTAAATATATACCTGTGCCTAAAACATTTTAATACAGTTCATTATATTCATATAATAAATAAAAATTCCATTGTAAAATTTAAATTCCTTGATATAGAATCTCCCTAATTCCAATTAACTCAGATTATAGGGACTCTACTACAGTGGAAAGTCGCTTATCCGGAATTGATGGGACTTCTGGAAGTCCGGATATTAGATTTTTCCGTATAATAGACCCCCAGGGTAAACAAAGCTTAAAACGATCAGAATCTAAGAAGCAAAAAATAAATGAACATTATTTTTCGGGCAATGTTTTAGTACTAGAATTATGTCCAATCAATCAAAAACAAAATATTAGAAAAAAATAATTATTGCTTAAAATATAGAAAACGAAAAATATTTGACAGTTATGAAAATATTAATTTTTCTCTCTGCCATTTTGAGCTAGAACGATTCAAGCAAGAAGGGGAAATTTCCATCATTCATAAGGGTGGGTAGGCGGAGGAGAAAAATTAATTTCCTTATTTGTCATTCAAGTTGAGCTAGGGGAAGTGACAAAGTCTTATTTTCTATCTGATCATTGGCTATCAATCAAGCATAAAGGCGTGGCATGCTGATTGGGTTCTCTTTATTTTTTCTTGTGCGACAGAAAGTGACTCCCCCTCCACGTTAACGTTTGCTGCGTTTACCCTTTTTCACAGTATTTCTTCTTTCCCTAACACTCTAATAAAAAGTTTGCAGGAAATGCCTCTTTTACTAGCCAGCTGCAAAGGAAAGAAGGGGGAGGGGACTCAGTTGTGCTCTTTTGAAAACAAATCTGCATTCCAAAGGAGGAGCGTCACTATCGGTCACTTGACGGTTGGTAGATCTTCTCTTCCTCTTTCTGGTGATTTATGGGTTCAATGCATAAATCACTAGAAGCTAGAAAAGGGAAAAAACTTGTCAAAAGACCTCTTTTTTTTAAGAGAGGGGAAGATGAAGATGTTTGTTTATTTTGATTCTTAAAAAGTGTCCGGGAAATCAACCCTACCAGAAAAGGGACGTCCAGATAAGGGATGTTACACTGTATAATAATTTCTGTTGGCATAAAAACTATCAAAAAATAATAAATGATTTCAAAATAACTAAAATTACTATAAAAACTAAACATTCAACTTACATCTTTAAGCAAATACTTTAAAGTATCCATTTGACAATCAGCATTATCTGTAAAGTAAAATAGAATTAGACATCAGGATGACGTCAAATGGATGGATCAAATTTTTGGATTGTTTAAATAATTCTTAAAAAAAAAAAAAAACACTCATATGAGTAATTTAAAAAATGGAATTGAATACTATGTTTGTTTATTATACATTAATATCAATGTCTATGTAAAGTACTCATAGTATGAATGGCTATGTCCTTTACATAGCTACGTTCATTTTTTTAAATAAGCATTTTAAGGTAATGGAAATAGTTCAAAATGCACATTTAAGAAAATGTTAACTACATTTTCTTAAACAGGCATTTTGAACTATTTCCATTACCTTAAATACCTAGCCATGTCCAAAATAAAAAGTTAATCCAAAATTAAAACATTTTCTTATCATCATAAGTGAATAATTTAATTCTCACCTTCAGTAGATGGATTTGCTTCTGATTCATCAACACTCATAGTTTCAACATCTACAAACAAGATTTAAAAGCAATGAGTTGAAACAAAAATAATTAAAATAATATCCTCATCCAAAACTAGCAAAAAAGGAGTGACAGAAATCTGCCAACAGTACCAGATTAATACAACAAAATACTTGAAGAAATTTTTTATTATTTATTTTAGAAGTTGAAATAGTCACAATTTTTTTTTTTTGTAAGTTATACAAATTTCATTATCACTTTAAACAATCGAGTTTTTAAAAGCACAAATTTCAAAGTGAAAACAAAATTAGTTGAACTATTCTCAGTAAAAAAAAGAAAAAAAAGTACCTTTGTTTAACATTCTGGAAGATATTTAAGTCTTTAATTTTTAAATAAATTCCCATCTACATTAGTTTTGAACATGCTTCAAAAAAAAAATTTATTTAAAAAAAATTTAAATGTAAGATGATTAAAACTCTGCAAAACTATTTATACACCTCTATTTTAAAATTTTAATGTTAAAATTTTTGAGGACTTTTTTTAAAAAATGTAATAAAGTCAGTTTAAAAAACTATTATAAAATTTATTACATAGTTATTTCCCAACTATTTAAGTTGGAAAATGGGGCTGCATATTGACCTTTCAAGAACAGTAGTTTGTATACACCATTCTCCACCTTTTTACTTCTATATTTTAACAGTTTTAATGAAGATTAGAAATAATTTAAAACATCAATTTTAAAAACCACTAAACCTGGGTTAGCAATTTCTTAACTCTTGCCAGTTTTAATTATAGAAAAAAAGTCAATTCACAGACATAAGAAACTTTTTAATAAATATTTGTACTATCAATCCATAATAAATAGATTAAAAAAAAAATATATGGAAAGTCCTATATCTGGAATTGACGGGACTTCAGTAAGTCTGGAAAATAGATTTTTCCAAATAATATATTTAAGGTAAACAAACATCAAAACTTTAATACAAATTAAACAATAATTAACGTCAGTTTCATTCAACGATGTATAAATCAATCTTGTATAACTAATCCCAATTTTGGCAGCTAATGTTGAAGATTTGCCCCTGGTTTTTAAAATCTCAATATTTTAATATGCCATTACAACAAACCACAAATTCTGAATCAAGCATTTCATTTAATTACTTCTCGACTCACTCAATTAATTTGGATTCAACCGTGAATTCGTGTGGTATACCTGATTGTTTTCTTACATTTTCATATGGATTTTAAAATTTTAATGTTTTAATACAATATTATTTCAGTCGGCAAAGTTTGAATCATGCATTTCAGAAAACACTTTGTTTACGCGCCTAATTACTGAAGATTCACCCATACTCACATGAGGATTTATGATCACATTTTTGTCAGCTGTTGCGTCAGATTTTAGCAATTTTTGATAGCTACATTATCACATTCTTACGCACTAGATTATAGACGCAAAACCATGCGATTTTATTGGTCACATTTTCGTTACTGCCATGGATTTTCACAATGTATTTAAAATCTTGATGATTTTTTTAATACAACATTGTTTTAGATTGATATATTTGAATCCCACATTGGAAGAAATCACTTTTTGAGGCACTGGATTAGTGGAAATTTTAATGTCTATATGGATACATGTTTAGGATTTCCATATAGTTTTCAAGATTTCGATTCTGATATGCTAATACTATTACAATCTGTATTTAGAATCATGCTTTTAAATAATCTCTATAATATGTTTAATGATGGGAAATGTTGGAAAGTCCAAAGTGTAAACAAATAGATGGACAGAGTTTTACCCTTTGCAGTGTCACTTCCTGTTGTGTCACAGCTTAGAGGAAGTGGGTGTTTCATTGTTTATAATTAGTTATGATCTGCTTTCGGTAGAGAGAGATATAGTTTTCTAAGTGTAGTTTTTGTGCTCCATCCAACAAAGTAGGAGCGTTCATATCAAAGTGGAGCATTTCTATCAAGGTAGGCGTGTTTGAACCGCATTCGAAAGTCACTTATGTGGGGCTAGGCTACCCATAATGTCAACCGTCTAAAGATACCTCCAGATAAAATCGAGCTAACATGTCTTATATGCTAGTGAATTGGAACTGAATAATTGTAGCAGCAGCTATGTTACGAGGTATAAACTTACCGTCTTGATTATCACTACTGGTGGCAATATCACCTTTGAGGCTGTTAAAATTTAAACTACAATCTAAAACATCTTTGCTACATCCAGCACCATCATTGTTAATTACTGCCATATTAAAAACTGCTTTTCTGTTCTTTTCAATATTGGCAATCGTAGCTACAAAAAAAAAAAAAATTAGTATGAAACAAACTATAAATAATGGTAAATAAGTAAAATTTACTAAACTTTCTTTTATTTTAGAAGTTTTCCAGAATTTCTACAGAAACAATCAAGATATAAATTTATTAGTTTTATCAAAGTAATAAAACATGATATATACATTTCAAACTTCTGTTTTATTTGTAATTTAATAATATTGTTCAGAATTATTTAGGTGTTTAATTCATGTCATTATTACTTAATTAGAAGTAGTTAATTGAATTGTCCAGTAAAAAGCTACAAATAGAACCAAAACATTCTTATTTATTAGCAGAGAGTAGATCCAAAGATTTAAACTTTTTTTTATGGATGACTTCAAATTTATCATGCCTATTGAAAAAAAAAATGGACACTTGTGCCCAGGGTAGGCTGGTTTAAACCAAATGATGAAAAAGAAAAAAAAAACTTTATATATAACTTTTTTGTAAAAAAAAACTTTACATATAATTATAAATTTACCATTATTTATATTAATACTTTCAGTTTGATTGTAACAGAATGAAAAAGTAGAAAGTTTCCTTACAATTTTAAGTTTCATTCCTAATGGGAACTCTTTTTATTTCCAATAAACAAATCTGCAATTTTTAAATGTTTACATCAAAATAGAAATAGCTTATCAAAAAAAAATATCTGTGTTAAACAGCGTTGGTATTTTGTTCGGAAGAAACCAATTTCTTCCAGAACAATGAAAGAAACTGTACAAAATGGAAGAAACTAAAAATGACCAATACAATTGTTTAACATTAAGTATTATAAGAATAACCCAAACAACTTAAATTTACTATAGTAACAGAAAGTTTAAAATGTAACATTTTTTTTTTTTAAAAGTCATTAGTTTTACGTAAAATTTTCAAATCAATGACTAATTCCAAGAATTTTTCATGACTTAACGAAGTTATACAAAAACACAGCAATAAATTTAAAAAAACAAAAACATAACATTAATTGAAATGATAGGTATAACCAAAACTGTTATACAGTGCATCTTCATATTTATAGATTTTAAATTTAAAAAACAGAGGAAAGAAAGAGCTGAAGCAATAAAATAACTTAAAAAAATACCAAAGCAAATGTTTTTTCTTCCTTTTTTTCAGCAGAATTATATTCTAAAGATATTTTTCTTGTTCATTGGAAAGGAAAGAAATACTCCTGATTTTTGTGTTCTCATTTCAGAATAATAAAAATTCGTCAATGACTGGCTTACTTCAGCTAGAATTTTAAATTGATAAAATAAAAAATAAAAATTCTGAAGTCAAAGTTCAAGGTTGCACATTCATTAAGAAGAAACAATATCATGAAACTGCCTTTTCACGCTTCTTGAGTAGCCACACTAGATCCCTTACTTTCAAACGGGACCAAAAAACTTATCCTGAATGTCATTGGTGATCAACAGGCATGGCCTTCCCTGCACATATTCTGATTTGTTTGGGGTTCGGTAAAGATGAGGTCCTGTGAGACTCCAGTCTTTTTATGAACTTTTTGGAGGTGTTCGGATTCATGGAAGTTCGGATTCAGAATCGTCTAGCACTGCTAGACGATTCTGAGATTAGCAACAACAGAAAAAAAATTTCCAATGCAATGAGATACACTAGATTAAATAAAAAAAATTCTAAATGAAGATATTCTACCCTTACATACCCTTATTATCAGCTTCAACCATTTCATTTAATTCCTGAAGACCAATTGGATCTCTTAAACTTGCATCACAAGCTAAAAATGCTAACTGAAGAGCAAGCTCAGGGTCTTTTTGTTGACCTAAAAAGTCTTCTACATCTTTATGTAATTTCTTTTGTAAATATTTTGCCACTTCAGATCCTAAAAAAGAGAGAGAAAATTTTTTTTTTGGTTTATTTAAAATAAAAAGTTAAACAATTTATGCTCTAAATAAAAGTATTTAAGCTAAGTACTTTTATTACATAAGACATAATCTTGAGAATTTTTCGACATTAATTAGTATTATCAATAAACAATTAGTAAAAATACATTTTTTACTTCCAAGACATGCTAACATAATAAATAAAAATAGTTGCAGATTCTGAACATCCTTATACATTATTTTACATTTCATCCTAACATGCAAATAAAAATTTAATATTAAAATGCTATATTAGTAATGCGTAAAAAAAATGAGTTCCCTTTTATCAGTACGTATACATCAAAAATACACTTTAGAATCAGGGTTGGCAGGTTTTTGACATGTGACACTTTTTGACAGTTTAAACCATGGTTTAAACCGTCACGTCAAAAACCTCACTGTCAAAAATGTAGAAAATGTCAAAAACCTATATTCATATGTGAAATTTAATTAATACATAAAATTTATATATTTTTTATAAAGGATAGTGTTTCTAAATATGTTCTAGAAAAAATAAATTTAAAATTTTGAAGAAACACTTATATTTTGAATAGTAACCAAAATCTTGTACTTTTGAAAACTCACATCTTTTGTAATATTATGTATTCATTTTCATGTGTTATTGAAAATCTGCAGTGATATTATTAAGAAATTTATTTATAACCAAATTTAGTGTATAGTATAGATTATACTAAAAATTAGACATTTTTAAAGATAAACATTAGCAGTTTTGTACATTAGACATCTTCTTTTAAAGAAAAATCTTTTTAATATTCTTTTAAATCTTCTTAATAATCTTTTTAACATAAGACAATACAAATTTAAGTGCTTTCTGTTAAATACACAGAGTAGTTAGTGTCGATTTACAGTATATTCAGCCTATTCATTTACTATGCTGAAAATTTAGTTTATCCAAATACTTGTGAATTTCATTTTGCTGAATACTATATAGTTTTGTTGAATATCTAAATATTCAGCTGTTGAATAATTACTTCTTGCTTTCAAGATATGCATTATTTGTATTCTTAATACAAGTGGAGAAAAAAAAATTAAGAGATAAAAATTGTTTTAAAATGATAAGTGTAATAATTATAAATAAATATAATAAACAATATGAATTATATTTATCATTATTCACAAATATAACTACTTTTAAATTCAAATTAACATACTGGATAATAAAGATATTCGGTATAACATTAAAATTTTTTTTCATACACTTGTATCAAGTTTGTATTTATACAACATAACTTGTAAGTTCCTTATAAATATTAGTTATATGTTCCTTATATGTCAAAAATGCATAGTAATAAACTTTTAATTTTCTTAAGTATCAAAAAGAAATTTTTTTTTTTTTAAAATATAAATATTTAAACAATTTTTGTGCAAAATTTTTCTGCACATGCATTTGAATATAAATTTCTGAGATTTTAAATCTGTTATTTTACCTTAATTTTAATTAAAAAATATTTTAAAACCTGCTGATTACCTATAGTATAATTAAATTTCAATATAATGCATGGCAACTGTTGGTAGTTTTGAAGTTTATATATTTTCTTGGCAAACTTCAGTTTTTGACATTTTTGACGGGTTTTTGACGGTTTAAACCAGTATTATACCCTTGTCATGTCAAAAACCACTTTTTGACGTCAAAAACCCAACCCTGTTTAGAATAATTTAATGTCATTAATTAACTATATTCAATTTACAACATTTGAATAAATGTAATAAAATGATTAATACAAGCTTAAGGAGAACATGAAAAATTTAAGGTAATATATTATTCAATTCAAAAATATTTGAAAATACTGGAATGATGAAACGGACTAAAAACATCAAATTGGCTGGATACATATGCGTATATAAAATAGTAAAGGTATGTTTTACTACTAATGATTTAATGGTAAAAAATAAGGAATAGAATACTTTTTTTCTTCTTTTTAACACAAACTTTAAGCTAATGAATATGCTTATAACATGCCTGCCAACCGTAGGAATCAAAAATTAGGAATACTATATGAGACAAAATTATACGCACCAATTGCAAGAGTAGGACAAAAATTTAACTATTAACTAATAAAATTAATAAAAAATATATATAAATACCTTATGCAAATTAGTAAAACAAAACTAGTATAAACATTATCTTTTGTGGGAAATTTATATTAGCAATATTTTATAATTAGGTATATGGGTATAATAGTTAAAAAAAAAAATTAAAAAAACCACCTTCACCTATTAATATATAATTATTATTCTCCAAATTATAAAACAGAGGTAAATAATAATCTGCATTATAAACAAATATTTCTAACGCAAGCTCTTTTGTAGTGTTTAAATACTACAATACCTTTTTTTAAAAATAATAACCTACCTCAGTAGTAGTTTAAGCAACTATTGGAATAGTGTTTTCCAATAAAAAGCTACTAAATATTACTTCACAATGATCACAGGAAGCGCGCTTGCGGCAATCAGAGCAAGGGATTGGTTTAAAAGCAAAAATACTGCAATTTTACAAAAATTTAGATTTTTTTATAAAAATATTGGATTTTCGGTTTTCACTTAAAAATTAGGAACGAATCTGAAATATTCTGAACAGTTGGCAGCTATTTTATAATGCTGAATTAATTAAAATAATATACATTGATTGAATTTTAAATGCAATTTGAATATTTTTCAATATTTTTAATTATGCTCTTTTATTTATTCTAAAATTCATGTTCTTTCTTTCATTTTTTTAAAGAACACCATATTTTACATTTAAATAAAATATGACTGAGTGGGGATTTTATTACACATTGAGATTTTGTAGCAAAAGAATTAATTAATCTATGTGGCACAATTCCCTATTTTTTTTAAATTGATTAAAATAAAATCAATCTGATATTTTTAAAACAATATGGAAAGTTTTAAATCAAAAGTTTCAGTCTTCATTTTATCACCCACAACTTGTGCTGATTCCATCGCAAAAATATTTAGTGTTTTGATCATTTGTCCAGCAATTATTACTAGGAATTTTTACTTTATATTAAACCTGGATATCTCTATATTATTATTTTTAATATTCTTGTTATTTTTTAAAAATACCTACATTATTACAGCATGCAAAGTATGAATTGCAGATTCAAGAAATCACTCTTTGACACACTCTGTTTGCACCAATATCATCGTTAATCCATGCGATGTTTCAATCAATCTAGTGACATTTATTGGAACAAAATTTCAAATTAAAAAATCCCTATGTTTTTTTTAATACAAATTTATAAAACGCAAAACTTAATCACTTCTTTGATTTACTTTTTGGTACGATTTCCTCGTTTTTTTAACTTTTCGGCAGTTATTAGGTAGTTTGCTACCGATTTTCACAGAGTTTTTAAAATTCTAGTTATTTTTCCGTTGATATTGTTTCTACACGTAAAATTTTAATCACGCATTTAAATAATCACTTTTTAATGCAGATCATAATTTAGGTCAATATTATCGTAAATCCTCTCAGTGTTTCAATGTATTTTTGGACAGTTATTCATATTGACTTTCATGTAGTTTTCAAGTATACCAATATATTTCAAACAGTATGGGAAATTCAAATAGTGCATTTGAGTATAAATATGAATAACTCAATGCACAACAATAATCATTGCCTTAAAAGGTAAATTTACCTTTTAAGGCAAAGATTCCATCGATTTTTCTAAACACTTATTGCTGTTAATTGCCATATATTTTTATAATCTGATGTGTTCAGTATAATATTTATTTTAACAACCGAATCTCAAAACAAAACACGCATTTGAATAACCCCTTTTTAGATATTCAGATTTGTGTGATTTCACAGATTTTTTTTTCGGTAGTTACTGCTATGAATTTCAACATTTTCTATTAGTTTTTTTAATGTGATGATTTACAAAATGCGAAAAAGAAATATTTTGTACATTTCTCCCCCTACAAAGTGTAAAAATATCGCGCATAATTAGAATTTAAAAAAATATCACATTTTCAATTAAAAAAAAATTCAGTCTTAATTTATCCAAATAGTTTTTGTATTAACACAGCGTTTTTATTACTTAAAATTAGTAACCCATATATTGGTTATTATTAAAAGTATTTTGCCGAAAGACATTAGAGCTAGAGGTTTGTCGCAGAGAAAAAAATTCTGCCACAGGGTTCCTGGGCTGACCACAGAAGTAACTTATCACTTTAGAATTAATACATTTTATATTTTAATAGTAAAATGTATATAATGCTAAAAAGTGTAATTAAGAAAAATATGTTTACTTAAGCAAACTTATTATAATAAATTTGAAGATAGAAATTACTTACCACCATGCCCATCAAACACACCAAAATAATTGAAGTCATCAACAAGATCTACTTCACATTTGTATGCGTCCTACAAAAAACATTTATGTGTTAAAAATTTATTGGTTATCTCAAAATATCTAATTATGACTACATAACAATTATCCTGATGATGTAGATCAGTGTTTCCCAAAGTGTGGTACGCGTACCCCTGGGCTGGTAGTTTAGCAGGGATATGCGATCTTATGCAAAACATCTTGCAACAAACGAAAATTTCAAGAAATTTTATCTAAAAACAAAGCTAGCCATGAATAGAATACGTATTTTTTGATCGGCTACTTTTTGTACAGTTAACAGTTAATTTAGAGTTAACAGAAACAGTTTGTTGCACCAAACATTTAAGGGTAAATAAATTTAGACACAGATTTAAATAAGTTCATTCTAAAATGCAGCTTAATGAGGTAATATCATAGAACTCTTAGATTTAAACTCTTGATTTAGAAAAGAATGAAAATCAAAAGCGTAAAAATAGCAGAATAGAGTAAGAAAAATAAATATTACAGATAAATTAGGGATAAAAAAAACACTTCACTGAGTTACACTATCTACCAGTCACTAAATTTTTCATGACCTTTATTCCAAATTCAAGGACTTACAAGAAATTTTGAGCTAATTTTTAAAGTGCAATATCCCATGGAATTCAATATAGAAGAATAGGAATTAGTTTTTAAAAAGAAGTAATTTACAGATTCACTAAAAGATTTCCCCAGCCTGCAAAGTGACGTGCATGAAATTTTTCGCTACATGTTAAGCAGTTTATAAGTCTCAGACTAATTATAAATGCTTTTATTTCATGGTAATCTCTGAACAATTTTCAACAAACACTTTCATGATTTCAAGTTTCTTATCCAAAACAGAAGTGCAAGAGGCTCTCACAACTTTTTAATATAAAGAAAGTTTTGTTTTATAGCAGCAAACAACTAAAGCATGTTTTAAGCACAAAGTTTATATTATGATTCATTTTAAACAGAAATGATTACGTAAACAGAGATTATTTCAATATTTTTATAATTGTTACCAATAAAATCAATTTCTAACGAAATATCATTTTTTCACTATTTAATTTAGGGTGACCCGGGGTAATTCACGAT